TTCCTCTTTTCGTTGTTTATCCGTGCACTGCACTGGACTGCACTGGTTCATCTGTTTCACCAGCACCATCTCCCTCTCCCTCCTCTATCAGCTTCCATGTGTCCGTCGAGATCCATTCCTCGTCTTTCCTCTTCTCCTTCCTTCACAGCACGGTTATGCAGGTTGCCTTCCACGTCCATTTCAGAGTTCCATTGTTCTTCCATGCGGGTTTCCTCGGGGATATTGCCTAATGTCTCCCATTTTTTTTCCTGATGACTGAGGCGAGGATGTCTCATGTGGTTTCGTCCTTCAGTTCAGTTTCTGTTCTGGGTGCTGAACTTGAACTGTGGTCTATCTGGTGAAATCAATTTCATGTCACTTTGTGAATGACGTTGTAGTTGCACACACTGCCTCCAATCACCAAATCGTTGAATGTGCGGAAATCTGCAATAAGTTCTCCATCCTCATTCATTTCACAGAGTGCTTCTCGACCCATGATGAGTTTCCAGTTTGGCATTCTTGTCGCCCATTAAAATTTTGATCTCACCAACTGACGTCTTGTCTAGTGCTGGTTGCAGTTGTCTGTAGAGTTCCTGCTTCTTCTCTTGATCTGCATTGTTTGCAGGTGTATAGCGTAGCACTGAATGATTGTGACTTTTCTTGTTTTTGAGTTGAACCTTAGTGTTATGATCCTGGAGGAGATTGGTTTCCACTATATGAGAGCCTCCGATGCTGTTGGGGATATCATGATAGCCACTCAAAAACTCAATGTTTTCATGGTTGTCGTCCAGGTAACAATATCGGAGTAGATTATTGACTGTCCAGCTGACAGTTTGTAGAGTCCACCGCCATTCCTTCTGGTTTTGCAGATTCCTAACACTTCAGTGCCATATCTTCTCATCTCGTTTCTAATGTGAGCAGGCTTGCTGGGTTGGAACACAGTGCGGACATTCCATGTCCTCATTCTTACTTTTGTTTTTCGTCGAGAGGAGAGTAGACAGATGGGCCAATTGGCTTCCCGAAGGCTTCCACAAACTGGCATCATTTCGTCTCCCCGATTCCAGCGAGGAATAAATTTGTTTTTATTTTTTATGTTTTCTTTGTGCTTTTAAATTGGATTGGTTTTACGGGATAGGGTTGCTAGCCCTCTGCCTAACTTTCCCTCTTTATTCGGGCTTAGTTAACTAGGCGAGGTTGGTTAGCAAGCAGGTTATGGCAACAACGACCCTTAAAATTTATCTATGGTTCGATTTTATTTAGGCAGTATTCAACAATTAACACCAGTCATTAGTATAAACTAGCGAAGTCTTAAAGGTCTCGCTAACTGTTTCATGCATGTTTGGGACTTCCCTGCTTTTAGCCCCCCTCCTAGGGCTAAAGTGAGATGTCGAACTCCATGAACTAGCAACCATTTACTAACAGTGAGTGTTTTCATACAAGTAGAATAACAATAAATTCAATAAAAGTCGTTTCCTGAAAGCAATCTACAACTACCGCTTCATGAAGGTAATCACTAAAATGAGGGTGCTTCAAGTTGAAATGACTGAACTGTGCAGTAGACAGATACAAATCGTCTATAACCACTATATTTACATATGTGGTTAATTTCAAAATATTTGGAATTCCTGCCGTCAGAAATGGGGTGTAACAATCGAAATTTACTCAGCAACTTTATGCACATACATGCAGTAGGCAACGAGCCACACCCATTGCTTTAGGTCTAGTGATAACACCTGGCTGCTCGAACCTCGGTGAAGCTAAGTTCGAATCCACAACTTAGTGGTTGAAAACCAAGTCCCTAGACCAATGGTACACAGCTCCATTAGTGTAGCAGTATTGTCTTGTGACATACTCATCCAGAGAACTTCACCATAAAAAACAGTATTCCACTACGCATCAAATAAACACAATGAATTTAGATTATGGGAAATATTTGTGGCTCAGGAAGATAATTTCGATAGTGTTGTGTTCTTTGAGTTGGATGGCTTAATCGTGTTTTTGGCAACCAATACCATGTTGTCTAGTCCTGAGTATTGACAGAATTCTATCCATCATTCTTGCAATATGGCCACCAAGCTAGGAGGCTCAACATCGTGGTGCACTTTGATGGCTGTTAGTTAGTTAGAGGTAATCGGCAGGAAATCCTGAATATAGGTTTCGTGCTTGGTGGCACTCGTCAGTAAGACGTATCTTCAACCTCAAAAGAAGTTATGTCCCCCATGAGGTTGGAACCCACGTCACCCAGCTTAAAGAACGCAAAACCACGTCGATTTAATGATTCATCACTAGACGATAAAAAAGATCTGGTTTATACAAAAAATTGTTCCAGCATTCATAGTGAGTTGAAACTTGAAAAATATTACGGTTGCATAATTAAGAAAGAAAGAAAGCGAATAAATAAAATTCAGAAGCACATGTAATAGAACTACTGAAAATGTAAAGAAAAGAATAGTCCTAAAAATTCAATGAATTCAAGTTTGTACACTGAATTTTATCTGGTATAACTAACCTGAAGATGCCACAAACTTCTACGAAGACGAACATCAGGTTATTTTCTGTTAATAAAATTGCCTCTAAAGAAGTAATTCAACAAGCAAATACACAAAACTCTCGAAATCAGACTTTTTGAACTTTTTAAACATAAAAATCGGTTGACTCGATATAGGTAGATTGTGATTAGCTGTATAAGATATCCTTCTAATCATTTCAAAATGCAGTCTTACTTGACATAATTTCTATGAGATATAGTTTATCAATCTGACAATCTGAGGTTCCCATGATTTGGCAGACTAGTAGTGATACTAGGTGATAATTGAAGGTGAAATGAAAATTTAGATTATTTCAGGGTCCAACCAAGCAACCACCGGGGTTCCTGCCTGATGGTCTATCAACTGATTTGTGAAGTGCAACTGATGCCAAGTTTTTATTTCATTTCAAATATATTTTACTAAACAGTGATCTCTCTTCATCATTTTCTGTCTCAAGTTTTCGACCTCATTTATCGATATGCCTTTTTTCACACAAAAATTTAGATGTAAATCACTGCTGTCATTGGGTTATGAATGCATTCGAACTCATTGTAACATAAATCTTTAAAATCAATATTTCGCACTCTACCTGTCAACAGTTATACCAGATTTTGTGTTAAATAAGTGCGTAGAAATTTACTGAAGTGCTTAGTGAAAAACCGATACTGAAATATCTTTTCGTCTATCTTGCAATTAGTTTCCATAGTGTAGTTACTCTCCTGTTTTTACAAGAGTGACAAATATAGTGCAGGAAATTAGACAGAATAATGTTTTTCTTATTTTCTGCAAGTTATTGACTTCAGTATTCATGTGGTATTTGGCTTTCCCAGCAGAAGTCTCGTTGTGCCGTCGTTGGCGAGAATCGGTGGAGGATTGTCTCCCTTTCTGGAGTATAAGTTTGGAACCTAGTCACGCCCTAGTATGGACTCGTGTATGTCTGTGCCTTATTGACCAAAGAAAACAGACTGTAGTAGAGCCTGCTTATGGTCAAATAGAATATGAGGTTGCCAAGTACATAGTTAGGAAGGGGTTAGCTAAAATCTCTTTGAAATTGACAGCAACGCTCACGTCACAGGTGTCTTCGTGACATTGCTAGCATATGGTGGAATAGCTGTTTGGACAATACTGAGGTCAGGTGAAGGGTACTAAGCAAGATAAGGAAGTCGATTGTTTAGATTGTGAACCTTAGTCAACCAAGATGGCTTGAACAGTATATTCCAAGTCACCTCCTACCTCAATGTGCCATGCTCAGGGTAGTTGGATTAGGTTGGAAGAGTGTCCAGAGTGGCCAGATTAAGAGGTGGCACCAATTAATGAAGTTTCTTACTGTTGGTTTCAGCCGTATGGGGAGATGTAGAGTGCCTGACTGGGGTCATCTAGACTATATGAATCAGTGTTTGAGAACTCTTGATGAAATGGCTGAATATCGGTCACAGGGACGCAGATGTTATCACTCCTTGACATCTAAGTCATTAAATATCTCCAGTGGCCGATATCTTCGGACTGGTAATTTTCTTAAATAACTTTGTCTACCTTGATATCAGTATTTTTCCATATACCTGTTCTTCTCAGTATACTACTGTGAAGTGTGGCAACTTGAACTGATACACTTGTGTGCCAGGTCCTACGCTGGTTTAGCCTGTGGGCCTTTAATATGGATATCTGAGTGCAGTTTTTAACACGACAGCTTTTGTCTAAAAAAAATAATAGTTCAGAGCCAAGTAGTTTAAAGGCATAGTGCCTCTGGTTTACATGGATAACACAAATAGTTAAGTTTGTTTTAATAGCCAGTTTCTATTTTAGTTTTGAATCTCCTCCCCACTCATTACTAGTCACCAAGACATATGGTCTCATTACAAACGCTTAAGTCATCATGAAAAAATAATAACGCCGGTTCCAATAAACTGTTAGAAACCTGTCAGTGCTTTGAATGCTGAAGCGCACAGAATAACTGAAAAACTGAAAATCGCGAGTTGAACTCGTTAAATGACGCATTTTTAACCCTATATATCAATAAAGCTTTCCTAAAAGTAGCTTGACTTTACCAAATACCGAGACAACCAGTCACTTCTGTTGTGGACGCATTTCATAATCAGTTTACCTTCATTCTTTCGAATAAATGCTGAAGTTGACAAACTGTATGAATCGCATACAGTTAACCATTCAACAAACTAATTATTTCTTCGCGTGGCACGCGTTTCACATACCGTTTTTTACTGGATGCTGATTGTAAACACGATGAAATTTTATTACTTGTATGAGTGCTGATTGGTTTAAATCATTCAACTCACTAACCAATCATAATGTAAAAGACATACAGCTTACTTTAAAGTTTTGTAAGCAGACTAAATTCACGTCATTGCTTGTAATCATAAGAAGGTGCAAATGTTCTTAAAACACTCTTTAACATCACAATTTGTCTGGAATCTATTTGTCTCGAAGAAGTAACCATTCTTATAGAATCCAAAAGCATTAGAACAAACAGTAATAATAATGCCATGTGTACAAAATAACTCCGATGAATTTCTACTTGAAGAGATAATGATGCTAAATTTCCGTGCTTACGTTATACCGATATTTATTATAACCGGTATTATTGGAAACACCTTTGTCGTAAACATATTTTATTTAATGCAAAAGTTACAACCATCTCGGTTTAATATTTATGTTATATGGATTACTATTTTTCAAGTTGTTGATTTAATCACAAATACACTTTTGGATGATTTCCTTGGACGAGGTTTAACTTGGGCAAGTGATTGTACAATTTTCATCAAATTAGACACTATATCATCATTCACTTGTAAGGTTCTTAATTACGTACCAAAAACAGCTGGATTGATATCAGGCATATTATTACTTATATTTAGTATAGATAGATTAGTGACCGTGTATAAACCGATTAAATTTCGTGGTGACTTCTGCCTACTACTACCACGTTTATCAATCATTTTTGTAGTATGTACATGCTTGCTATTGTTTCTACCTCAGCTGATTTATTCTGACTTAATAAAGGATGATGAAACGTCATCAATTGCTAATCACACCTGTCAGTATGTGAATTCATCATATTTTGGTGTTCAATACAGTTTATATTTATCAATTATAGGCACGCATATTTTACCAACTGGTATGATTGCTATAATAAACTGTTTAATTGTATTTCGCTTACATGTATTAACTAGGAATAGACAACTTTTGCATCGTGCATTTAGCCAAAGCTTATGTCCAGCCAATATTACCTATCTTAATGATAATACTAATACAGTCAACTTAACTCCTGCAATTACTTCAAGTGCTACTACTACTACAACTACTACATCGAATTATGCTAGTTCGACTCCTCGACAGTCTACAATTAGCAATAAAAATCTGCACAGACATATTCCTAATGCCCAAAATGAAATGAGAAGGATAATTGGACATTTACTAGTCACTTCTGTCTTCTTGTTCTATTCAATTCCACTTGTTGTTATCATTATTTTACGTCAAGAGTCAGATTTTCGAAATTATGCTATAATCTATCCAATCTATGCAAAACGTTTAATACATCTATCCAAATTATTTAGTTCACTTGATTCAATTATTCATTCATGTCATTTTCCAATATTTTTAATTTATTTACCAAATTTTCGCAATATGTTTTTCCTGTCTATTTATTCTTTGCCAATATTAAGGCATACAAAATATTGTGTTAAGCATATTGAACAAATTGAAATGAAATTATCCAATCGGTTAAGAACACGTGTACGCCAATCAGTAAATCTTGATATGAAATTAGTCGAGAATATGTTATTTAACAGAGCACATACTATATCAATTGATCAAATGGTAAGAAATAATTCGAAATTATGATAACAATTATGTGACTAACAGTATGTTTTTTCGATGTCTTTGATATTATTAAAAACATGATGATGAATTCTGTCTGTGAAGATATTCCCTTTTTGATTTTTGGTGATTAAGTATTTTGAATAAAATCAACTGAAGTAAATTTATTATAACTACTTCTTTAAAGGCTTTTACTTCTTTTACAAATGAGTTATAATAGACTGATGCAGGACATATGACTCAGTAAAGAAATTGAATTGTTACGAAATAACTTCTACACTGAACGGTTATCTAGCATAAGAGAACAGACAAACTAGATATAATTTAAACATAATTCACTTCATACACTTAACGTTAAAGTTGATTAAGCCGAACCACTTAATAGTTTTCTTCTTGTGAATATTGGCAGGATATAAATATAATATAACTACCATTTAGGTAATTAATAAGTTCATTTGACAACCAAAAAATTTACGCAGCCACGTTTATAACGTATAATAGGAGGTAAAAAAGATCCAAGAGATAGCTTCTACTCATTTGTTGCTTTGTTTGATGTTAAAAATCACTTGATAGTAAGCCATAGGCCTACACTTCATGTTTATTGGTGTATATTAGAAACATTTATTTGCCGCCCAAATAAATTGGTATTGCTTCAAAGATACAAACTTGAATTTGAAGACTTCATCACTTGGTTATTCATGTCATGACTAAGTTATATCGATATGAAATTTGTACACACTTTCACTATTGTACGGTAATTGATATAGCCATGAAATCCAGTGTACTTGGCACTGACAGGAATCTATCGACTAGGTTTTTGGTCAAGAAGCTAAGTGATGTAACATTCTCAATATCACAATCTCCAGACAACTGTGATTGGTTATTGACTTGTTTCTTTATGATTTGAGTTTTAATTCAAAGTCCTAACGAAAGAAAAAAAGCAACATTAATTTGCATACGACCTTTCAAATATCATTCCAGTTAATCCACTAATCGATTGTTTATTGCAGGATTTGCCAGATATATTCTCTTCATTCATCTAAAAAAAATTAGGGTCAACTTGTCTTATCTCAAAAGTTGGTCTAATTTATTTGAACTCCTAAGAGGCGAAAGTAAATGTAACTGATTAGTACACAAGACAAACCCTTTTAGTGAGACTGGATGCATTTTACTAAGTGCTCCTTTTCGCATTTCATTCTATTAACTCCAGCTGAACAAGAAATTGATAGATTGTTCTTGGTAACTCTAACAAGAATCTACTTGATTAAGACATATAATTGCTCTATCAGTCGTGTAAATTCAGAAATAACTGGATGAAAAATTCTATGATGTAGAAGTAAATAAGGGAATTTTTCTCATTAACCTCACACATACACCAATAATACCGTAAATAATCACTGGAGAATTATTCAGATCTTCTTGTTATAAAAAGTTAAATCAAGTAGTGTTTACCCTATTAAAGATATACTAGAAAAGAGTAGAATCTAAAACGTTATACCATACATAGTCTTCTAACATTGTGTTTCTGTCAAGCGAAATACATTCCAAACAAGTGTCGATATATTTTCATAACATCGAAAAACTACTTCCTAAATACTTTATGCGACATTCTTTCCGAGGTCTCTGCTGACAGTGATGTTAGGATTGATAATGAAAGCTTCAAAATTAAACCATAGAGCTCAAAATACACAACAACATCAAAGTAACATTCCTAAGCTGCAAATATTTTCTCTCATTCCACGACTTTAAAGTATATTCTATGTAGACGAAATGAAATATTTTTTCATTCCTCTCATCTGTTCGGTAATAACCTGCGCAGGTTGAATACATCTAAAATTTTCAAGGATTCCTTAGGGGTTTCTCTAAACTGACAGTAAAATACAGAAATGCTTGACAGTCTAATCCTCAGACACAGACAGTGTGTCAGTATTATTTACTGATTTACTTTTCGGACATAATTTACTGTCCATACTCACATCAACATAACTATACAAATTAAAGACATCCTTTATATGATTTTTATTTCCTCGCCCACTTTGTTACATGGGTTATAAGATTTTTAATATATCCGGAAGAAGTGCATTATCATTCCTGCTGCATGTTTTAGGTGTTGATTCGATACACAAGGATTCAGCTACTAACGTGTTCCTTTATTCTGCAATGTAAAGTTTCAGGATTTTCACCCTGTCCCATCTTGTTACGTGGCTGTGTGTAATTGCATACATAGCTATGGTGGAGCTTTTTTCCAAATTCCTTATCTTAATAGGACCTACCAATTTTGACCTAGCTAGGTTTTCATGTTCGGATAGCCTAACTGACCCTGTTTGACTACTTTGACCTATATATTTGACCTCGTAATCGTCTCAAAGGATTTGACTAACTATTTTATTGTTTAGTAGAATTCATAAGATCTTTTAACCTATAAAGCTTGTTTCTAAAGTGAGTTTGTAAGTTCTAACGTCTCTCTAATCCAAGATCTAGTGAAAATCCCACGTAGTGTTTCTGAGGTGCCTGCTCTGCATCATAATACTTTGGAGGTTTCCAATTCTCTTTTCTTGCAGTTGCCACTAATATTATTGACAATATTATCACTATAATTAAGATCTGTGTTACTAATATTAGTTATGTTTTTCTTACAATTCCTAAGGAAATTATCAATTAGTTTGGGAGGACAATTGTTGAACAAGGTGGCAATAATGTATCTGGTTTCATTGTCTCAGATCTTCTGTTTTACTGGTAAGGTTTTTGGCCCTGTTAATTAGACACTTTACTCAGGCAACTTTACCTGACATAGAGTTAGACGATTTCAAGTCTAAGTAACGACTTGAATGTGAAGGTTTTCCGTAGAAAGTAGTGCTTAAACTCTTATCTTGTTTTCGTTTTATTCTGAAATCAGACATCGCTAATTCTCGCTGACTTTTCTAATTCATCGGTGAATAGGATTGCCTTGAATACTGAATTTATGTGTGAAGAAACTATGTGTGTACTCCAATTTCTTCACTTCAAAATTGGCAGATCCTATTAAGATAAGGAATTTGAAATATAGCTCTACCATAGCTATGTATGCAATTATACACAACCACACAATATTTTAGATGAATATGAGGAAAAAAGTCTCGAAATTACATCACATGAATGAATATAAAGAATTCACAGAGTGAAATAACAAATATTCCCATTGAGTCAGTATGAACTATATGTAATAAAATGAAGGGAGAAGAATAAATGTAGTATCATTTATCGACTGTACAAGATAGTTGGCTAAGTAGTCAATAAGGTCATTAAGGGGAATAAATAGACGAAATTACCTGTGAATTAGATGATCTGTTCAAGTCGAAGAAATGAAATATGTCTAGGATGCACTTAACAATGAATAAAATGTTAATTATAGAACCATTTGCGTGTACATATCTCAAGAAGAATAATTAATGATAAAGGCTTTCTCGAAACAAAATTGTTTCAGCATTCTTTTAACGATTGTTATTTTAAAATCTTAGAAAATATCAAACTGAGGCCATAGTTCTATACGATTTTTAGTGATTGTGTTACTGAAAGTTAAGCTAGCTTTCGAACTCATTTTTGAGATGTGATCATGAAAATTAATGGATGATGTTTTACCAAGATCAAACTGAGAAATTTTTCTTATTTGTACCAGCTTATCGAGGACAGTAAACAGTTTATAGATGCTTGATCTGAATTATTCAATAGATTCCATCACAATAACAAAAATGGTAAAAGCTGGTCACTGAAATATGAGTGTCCACATTCAGTCTACCATTATGGTTAGATTCAAACGACCATCAGAAGAATATGTCAAACGATTTTCCTCCACAGTGTGAACCTTCAAATTAACAAATATGCTAGGTCAAGAAATTTGGAACAAGCAATTAACTATCAGTTATTTACTACTGAAAAACTTGAATCCATATTGAGAAAGTTCTATAATTCTTTCTGTTAAAGATAGATACTGTTTATGTATAAACACTATTCACCATGGAGTGATCTCAACAGGAGAGTATTGGCTGTCAAATATTTTTGGTGTGTGTTTGAGTGAAGACTAATAGACAGATGCTTAACAAATAAATAGAGAAAAGATGCTTAAGGTTGCTTGTAAGACAGTAGACAAATATCTCATAAGTTATTTATGTAGGCTTAATGTACCGGTGAAAAATACACTCAGTTATCTGATTTGTGAAATCCAAGCAACATTTAACTACACATCCTGTTCCCATTATCGGTCTCCGTAATGAATGACTGTTATTGCAAACTGAACTAATTAGTTACTTCCGCTGATTAAACGTTTGGTTAACTTATCAAACTATTTGTCTCGCTATAAATATCGGGACTATAAATGTCAAAACTCTCCTGGAAAAGAGTGATCACAAAGTCTGATTTAAATCCGAATGCTCTATTAAACAAGCTAGGGATTACACAGTGAAACGCTGGAAAAAATCTTTTCTAGGTTTCCTCGACATACGGGGATCACATTAAAATATATCCGTTTACTCGTTTCCTTGGTTAAAAATAAAACCTCACAAGTAATACATAGAGTAACCTAAAGCCCTCTTGATGTAGAGTCATGCTTTCGTTTGCTTTGTTGTTCTTCAAGCTCCGGTTAATTTTCGGAAGAGGTTTTGTTGCCAGCCACTGATGTAAAAATTAGGCTTAAGCCATAACGAAACCATCTTAGAATCAGTTAGCTGATGCAAAAAGCACTTACCCTCTTATCAAAATGGTTTTTTAGTATATGCGAGACTTTCTTATCGTTCGAACGAACTTAAAATTTTTGTATAAATTCAGTAGATAAACTTCTTACTGTAAGAGTGGAACGGTAGAATATTTGAACAAATCTCATTTTACTGTTTATTCTATTATGTGTTCATCAATCTTTCAAATAGATTTTTTTGAAAACTCTTTACAGTCCCTTAATAAGGAAATTTTGGTCTTCCTGTAATGAATATATGAGTAGTGAACAGAACATGCAATGAGATGAAGTATTCTTAGTAATTTCTGTCACGAAATAT